GATTGGTGACGGTATTTGGCGAAAATGCCAATCAGGCACCAATCGGTCACCAATCAGGTACCTGATTGGTGACCGATTGGTGCCTGATTGATGCCTGATTTTTCACTTTTCGACCTGTGTAATATTCTCCTGTCTCTTAATTCTTACAAACCTAAACGATGGGCTTACATCACCTTTAAATCACAACAAATGATGGATACCGCAATGGAACAATCAATCGCCCTGCAAGATCATAGGCTTCAATGGGAACTCCCGGAGAATACAAACAAGCTTTGCCATAAATGCGGCAAACTTGGCTGTACTCCTACTGCATGCCCTTTGAACAACTCTTGAGGTTGCTCACACACCCATAACCCTGTTGCACACTTAAAAGAACGTTTCAATATTGGATAATCGAATAACCATAATTCTTCTGCTAACCACAGTAGATATCGTTCCCTTTCTCAATCCAAAGATTGTTCTAATTCTCGATAATGTAATCATTCAGCTAGCAATACTGGACGGAACAATAATAATACCAATAATACTTCTTCGCCCAATTTTTCTAATTCCAATAATTCTACCCAATCTGCTCAACGACCTCGATCTATTGAGCGTAAAGGCAAAGACTGTTCAGTTTCCTTTTCCACTTCCCAACGTAATAATACCTCTACTTCCAACTCATCTGGCCATAAACCTCCCTTGGTAGATCCTAATTGTTCCCAAATTCAAGAGATCCTTTCAGTACTCAAAAGCCTTCAAGAAGATATGGCTAGTATACGTGCTAGAATTCATGCTCTTGAATTAGCTGATCAGAGGATGTCTTGACTGGAATTTCGTGTTTTTGGACATATGCAAGACGATGTTCTTCCACTTGATCCCAATGATTCTTCACATACGCTTGTTGATAACCACCAACGCACCACCCTTATATAACACAATCTAACCCGCCCACTTCGAACAGGCCTCTTTCTGGCCCAGTTCTCCCTTCCCCAACGGTTCCTGTTTCTCATTCCACCATTTCTTCCTCCCTCATTCCCGAAACTGCCGATGAAGCTACTATCAATAAAAAACGTGCTGAAATTTATTCCTTTCAATGATCTTTAGATAACAAATTTGATCACTTATCTGGCTTTATTGAAAGATTTATTAGCTTCATTTCTGGTGGCTCTTCCTCGGACTTAGTCAATATGACTTCATCTGATTAATTTGTTATCCTCCCCTTTCACCCCGTAATTCTTATCATAGTGTAATAATGATGAACAATAATATAGATTATGATACCTTTGTGCGAAATTCTCTCAACCCCGTTGATTTTAGTGATATTTTTAATGATCCTTTATCTGACACATTATTTTCTTCCTCTTCTTCTACTTCATCCATCCCCAATTCTTTTAACATTTCTTCTTTTAATGTTAATGGTCTTAAAACTCCTGGTCAAGGTTCATTTAAAATGGACCAAATTTCTTCCTTTTTTTTCATAACTATATTTCCTTTGGTAGTATTGTTGATACTCATTTATCACCTAAACAAATGAAATTTTTATCTAAGCGAGTTTGTGATTATACTTCTTTCCATTCTGATTTGGACTCTACTAAACATGGCCATTCTTCTGGTGGTATTTCTTTGTTTATACACAACTCTTTAGCTACTCACGTTCAATTTTATCAATCCCATCCCTATAAAAAATATGCACACTGTTTATATACTGTATATTCGCATCTTTGATACTGTTCGCAATTTTATATACTGCACATCAGTATTATGTATACTGTTCGCAAAATGCCAATAATAAAAAATGTAACAAAGTATACGGTGAATAGACTGTATGATACGGTATTTTAATTTCATACATTTGTAACGTATATTGTATAAATATCTTTCTACTGTATATCGGTATTTTGTATACTGTT